GCAAGATGTTGCTCTGCTGCTTGGATTGTCCGCCTGCCATGCGAACTGCCTGTTACGATCTCTTAGGGCAATCCCTTGCGCATGTTGACGTTTCGGCGTACTCCTGTGTCTGCGTCTTTGTTGATTTTAATGCCGACACAGACAGGTCCGATCGCTCTGCACCAGTCCCGCTGACATCCATGACATCCATGACATCCAGGAGCGCATGACGATGCGCTCTTGGATGTCATGGAAACGTCCGGTTTAGTTCAGGTGTGCAGTGAACCCTCGTACACGTCAATCACAAACAAAGCTTCCTTCCTAGACCTCGTGTTCGTAGGCAACCTTCCCCTCATAACTGACTCTTCCATCCAGCCGAGTTTGGCTGGGTCCGACCACAACGCCATCCGCTTTTCGAGCCTCTTGACGCTACAGAAGTCTGGCCTTTAATTCAAAATGGTTCGGAACTTCTCCAAAATGGACCTAGCGCACCTTAACAACCGCTTGCATCTCGCCCCATGGTGCATGATGCTTAACGAAGACACAGTAGAAGACATGTATGAACTCTATAGAAGCTTCATGGGAGTTATTGAAGCAGAATGTGTGCCCCAGTTTACAACACGCGCCAAGCGGCGCCCCCCGTGGATCACTCCCGAGGTCCATCTCTCTCTCCAACCAAAAGCACAAGCTCCTGCGAAAGACAAAAATGTCTGAACGAAGCGGCAGCATTGAAATCAAGAACATCCAGAGAGAGATAAAAAAGAAAACTAATTTGGCACACCACACATATGTTGCCGACATCGCAGCTCGTGCGATGAAAGTGCCCAAGCTCTTAAAGGGCAACTCCGGTCCATACTTTCGATTTTGGGATTATGACTGTTTTTAGTGCAGTCCGCGTCCCTGAATGGCAAGGTGTAATTTTTTTCTCGTTATTGTGCGTAGTTTTAAAGATATCGACGCCTCAAAGTTTTGTTTCTGGCGCGGCCAACAAAAACCGAAACTGGCCGCTTGAGGTTCCGGCGACACTGGAAATCAGCTGCTATGTGAACGCGACGTTAGGATCGTTCTCGTTCAACGAGTACGCAAGCCGAGCGGCACTTACCTCTGTTACACTGTAAAAAAAAAAAACGTAAAATTACAGGGAGCGCCAACGGGACCAGAGCCGCTCGCGAGCCGTCGTTGCCGTTTTGCCGTAAACCCCTCCACCGCACCCGAACGAACAGACATAGTCGGCGCGCTGCGCAGGCGCAGTCAATGCAGCCCTTTTATTCGGAGAGGCGGAAGATCACGTGAACTTCTTTCCCGCGCTCCCGTGGGACGCTCTCCGCGTGAAGGCACCCCTGGCGCATGCGCAGTGAGCGACACCAGGCAGATCCCGCGCAATTCGGCGACTTTGCGGTCGTGTTTTTGGTTCGCCGCACTCAAACCTGGAGATTTCACGGTAAGTGCATTACATCCCCTTCCTTGAACTGTTTGATGAATACCTGTCGCACCACTGTTTTCTTAGATGAGTCTCGCTGTTGTCTGGATTCACTATTATGCATTGCTCGCCACAAGCGTGTGCAGACGATGTGCGCCTCGCGCTGGAGGTGCGTAGCGTTTAGGGTAACGGGGTCTTTGCCTTGTGCTTTCGAGTGTTACTCTAGCATTATCATGAGACGTAGTGTGTCGGTGTTCTACATCTTTCTTGCTCCCTTCTTAGTTAAATATTATTCGGCTACGTGAAACGCTCTTGGTTTAGCGCTCCGCTGGAAAGGCAGAGGTCCCTGGTCCGGTACGAGGACCATGCACGCCGATTTTTTCGGTAGCTGCTTGTTCGACATAACGTGCTGTTCAGGTGCAATTTGTTTCGAAACATGCAAAGCGACACAGTGCAATGAGGTTTCAATTGCTCACAATGGTGTACTATATACGTTTGACCGAAGTGTGAAAAACTAGTGCCAAAATTCCTTTTTTTTTTTGTTCGTTTGTGCCGAGCCGACATTTAGCTTCCGTGCACTCTCATATTGTTACGGTATACTTGTGTGAATTTAGGAAACTTTAAACTGATCGATTCGACCTTCGTGTCTAACACTGCAAGTACTCAAATGCTTTGCAGTACGCCTTTAAGTCCGCGGTCTTTTTTTTTTTTTTTTGAGTTCGTTGAGTTTAGCTTTTTCCATTCTTTTGTGCGCTGCTGTGTAGCGACGGCGCCGGACTATACGTAATCAGTCATGACTGAAACACATTTGCGAAAAGCGGCCAAATTGTATGAAGAAATCGCAAACGAAAATCAGACAGCAACTCCTATTGCCTTTCTTTTTTTTTTTTTCGGCGGGGGGGGGGGGGGGGGGGGGAAGGGAAGGGAAGGGAAGGGAGGGAGGGAGGGAGGGAAATTTTGGTTTTTGGACGGGCGCGCTCGTTTCGAGATAACCAAGGAAACCCGGAGGGGGACGGAGCGATGTCGCAACGTTACTTCGGGAGTTCCGTCCATTCCGTCCCTCTCCGGGTTTTCTACGCTATGGCGCAGCCGCGGCAGCCGCCGAGGCTGGTAGAGTGTTTCCGCGGTTTTTGATCAGCTTTGTACGAAGACTGATTTTCGTCGATCTTTGTCGTGTTACGTGTATGTGGTGAACGGAGCACTGCGGAGACTGAAAATTATGTGGGCTGTTTGCTGTGTTGTGGTACTCGGGCAAAGCAAGATCGCGGTGAGTTTGCTCGTGTACAGTCGGCGGTAAAAGTTTGCGGGGCGCGGGAGTGTCAGCCGAAATGACTGGTTGCGCCTTCTGCGGCGCGCGGCCGCTCTCAAGATTCACGCTTCGAGAATGTGCTTCCTTTCGTGCTCGAAGCCATGACTTTTTCGCTCGCTTCCGCCCGACGTGCACGAGATAACCGGGGACCGGCGCAAGGTGCCGCTATGACAGCCATCACGCCGCGCGTCTGCCTCAGCCACCGTGGTGGGTGACGAAACTCGCGCATGCTACAGATAACACAAGGTCAATTCATATAGGTCGCGAAAGTGGAGCAAAAAAGCGGCCTAAAACCAATCGTCAGCGTCATCACCCTGGAGGCCGCGCTACCGCAGCGCGACTATGTTTTGCGCGGCCAAACACTAAGCTGATAAAATATTAAAGACACACTTTCGGTGTCTTATATAGTTGACTTTAAATCGAAGTATTATTTGCTAATAATAACTTAGTTTAAACATGTCTAGAGTGGTGAATTTTTCAGGTTATGTTCAATATGTATTATGTTGTGCATACTTGTTGCGACATCTACAACGTCGCTATTTCTCGCCGTCGGCAGAAGTTCGCAGTCCTTATACGCCTCGTGTTTGCATTGTTTACGTTCGCCAGTGTGCCTACATTTCTGTAGCTCCCGTCGAACTTTCACTTTGCAATCGTTTAAAACGACTTCGTGGTCTTAAGTTTTCCCACGAACGGTCTGTACTAGTTGAATCCTATTGCGCCGTTCTGTTGCTTTTGTCGTCGAGCGCCCGACGGGCGCGGTCAAGGCTCTGTCGTCGGGACGATGCGCCCGCCCCATGTAAAGAGGCGCTGCGCGGTAGCGCGATGCCCAAGTGATGACTGCACCGCTGGCATCACACTTCATCGTTTTCCTGTAGACGCTGCAAGGTGAAGCTTGTAGCAGCTGTGTCCGCTGCAAATATGTGTGATGTCCTGATGTCCGTTGTCCGGTGGTGTCTGGTAAGCTCTTGACCTCTCCTATGGGCCCTCATGCATGCTCATTTAGTAATAAGCACCCGTTGATCGAGCTTTTTTGGGCCCAGTCTCCGTTCCAAGCTTCGCGAGACGAAACTAATCTTAGATTTTAGTGGCGGCTTTGCTTGACCTCTGCTGAACGGTTGCGTGACCCCAAAAGCCTAATAAGAAACAATTCAGTTTTAACGAACTTTTATAATATGGTGTGAATAACACTAAAACGTCCTTTCTGCTTGAAACGTGTTTGGTGTCGTCCCTCTAACATGCTGGCGACTATCAGGTCTACTTCCTGTGGATGTCCGTGCTCGGGAATTTAGTAATATAATCGTCTGCGTTGTGAACCTATCTAACCTCACGGGCACAGAGGTGTGCTACGCGCTCATGGCGTTCGCTGGACCCAGACGGGAGACCAAGTACAAGGATGTCACTAGTTTATCGCTAACATTATTGTGTAATCTTGTTTCTTTCTTAAATGTCCACTTTAGCCAAGGGTATGTAAAGTAATACACTGCTTCACATTCAGGCGGAGGGTCTGGGTTGAGTTCTGACGGAACACAAGCCTACGGAACAAGACGCCACAGCAGCTGCGGGAACGGGCGGTATGCTCCAGGCACTTCAAACCCTCTGCATTTCTTTACCGAGAAAGGCTGCGTCGTGATGCAATACCAGCATATTTGACCACTTAGGGTGAACACGAAATATTGTTTTCATTATCACTGAGAAGGTAAGCTTATTCAGAAAGTATTTTACATGCAGATAAGGGAACTGTTTAAGTGTACATAACGTGTGTGCTTAACTTTGCATAGGTGCCGGAGATGCCGTACAGAGCAGCAGCCCTGGCCAATTGATTAGCGAGGGCGAGCCCACACTGGCCTGCAGAAGTAGCACCGATGGGCCCAGATCATCACGGTGTCACACGCACCACATTACAGAAGAAGGTAAAAGCAATTGCATATTGGCGGAGAAGTGTTGCAGGCCTTGTTTCTTATATATTTCGGACTGTCGTGTAGTAGCCATCTTTGGGAAACATGTAAAACATGTATGACCATGTTTTTAATCTATAGTCCGCTGAACCTGAGAATAAAGGGCGAGGGTAAAACGGGCCGGGAGGAGGAAGCAGACGGAACGCTAAAGAAAGAAAGTTTTCCTCTCTCTTCTCCAGCGTTCCGTCTGCTTCCTCCTCCCCGGCCCGTCCTACCCTCGCCCTTCGTTCTTAGGTTGCAACGGGCTACAGCTTGTCACATGCCGCAGGAATTTCCTGAAACAATACAATGACTGATGTTTTTGACAGATTGTTTAATTGCCTCGTCATTGCTTTGCAGATGTGGGGAGCAGTCTCACGGATTTGACCTCTGGCACGAAGACTAGCCCTCCAACCAGAGTTCATGGTAAGTTTTCATAGTGCGCGTAGTTTAGGACAGTCTTTGAAGATTACTTTGTTGCGTAGTACTTGACCAGTCATAGCTGGTTCAGCTTTTTGCAACCACTGTGTCACTTTGTTTCCTTTGTTTTGTTTCTTGTAGTGGATCACACATACGCGATGCAAGGCGCGATGGATGGACATGGCCCGCCGTCTGGAGGAAACGATGTGTGGGCACCTGAACCTTCCCCTACCGATTATGATGCGTCGGTGTCTTCGACTTCTGCGGTTCCTCACCAACGTAGGTGTCCGTCATGATGCACAAAGTTTACTTGTACTTCCACATTTTCTACACTGGCGGCACATTGTTTATTTCATTATTTCTCGAAATGTTTCATAATTGCTTTTGCTTTCCTCTTGCAGGGTCCTGTGCCACCCGCACCGAGGGCAAGGGGAAGGTGGACGTGTTGAGGGCCAGACTTCGATAGCTTCGGAAACATAACAAGAGATTCCAGCAACGACTGCAGCGAGGGCGTCATATGCTGACTGTCACTGAGATAGTTGAAAGTGTACGTAGCCTTGTCTCTCCAGCCGTTGCTGCCCTTGTGGAAGCTCAGCTGAAGATGACCGATGCGAGCAGGTTTGGCAGGCGGTGGTGCAGTCAGAACAAAGCCTTTGCCTTGGGCTTGTACTTTCACAGCCCTAAGGGTTACCGGTACTGTAGGCAATTGTTAAGGTTAGGTCGTTACAGCTTTGGCTTCAGCGTGTTCCCCTGAGGGTTGGTTTTTACCCAGAAGTTTTCGAACTAGTCAAAAGACCTGCAGCTTCTTTTTCACCAGAAGACAAGCCATGCATTATTGCCTTTGACGAGATGCACGTCACGAAAGAGCTCTCGTACAACCCCTCTGTGGACAGGTTTGAAGGGCTCGAAGAAAGTAACACTGGAAGAGGCCATAACCTTGCAAACGAAGCTCTTGTCTTTATGGCTAAATACATTCGCACGCCATGGAAGCAGCCACTTGGCTATTTTTGCTCATGGGGGAACACCTGCCAACATTTTGCGTGACCTTCTTTTCCAGTGCCACAATTTGCTTGTTAAAGCCGACCTGGAGCCAGTAGCTGTCGTATGTGACCAAGGCAATCAAGATGTTGCTCTTTTTAATGGCCTTGTTACCCATGAGAAGCCCTACGTAAATGTGAATGAGAAGCCACTTTTTTTTTCTATTTGATGTTCCACATCTGCTGAAGTGCTTACGAAATATGTTCTTCAAGCACAATTTTCAAGTTGGGGATCACACGTTGAGAAGCTCTTTCCTCAGGGAAGCTTACGAAAAAGACAAACAGCCTGAAATTCGATCCATGCCAAGGCTCAGTGAGAAGCATTTTAATTTGAATTTTGCCTCCAAAATGTCAGTGAAACTAGCAGCGCAAATATTCAGTAATCACTGTGCTGCTGCAATGTTTGCCATGGTAACTTTCCAGCAACTGCCAGTTGAAGCTATCCACACGGCCCGGTTTACTGAAACAATGGATCGTCTTTTTGATAGCTTGAACAGCTCAGAGAAACGCGGGAAGAGTGCATATGTGTCTGCAATGCACGAAGGCTCTGTTCACGAGGAGTTTCTGAAAGAATGCCTTCATATTTTCAAAAGCCTTACCGTTCTTGGGTGCCCACGGCAGCCTGCTTGCATTCGCAGTTTCTCCTTGACCATTCGGTCTATTATGCCGATTTGTGAGCACCTGACATCTGAGTATGGTTTCAGATACCTTCTGACTCGCCATCTCAACCAAGATGCACTCGAAAACACATTCTCCGTAATAAGGTCAAAGTCTCGTGCGAACGCCAATTCCTCTTGCCGGCAGCTTCAAGCAGCCTTTAGGCATCTCCTAGTTAGCAACTTTTTTAAACTGTCTGACAAAAGCAACTGAAAAGAGGACATGGCAACTCTTTTAGCGGCTCTTCCGGTTGGTTTCTCAGCTCCCTCAGCTTCACTTAGTCTAGGAAGCACACTTCCACAATGTGCAGCTGACCTCACATACTGTAGTTATCCCACTTTATTATCACTTAACAACATGGTTTACTTTGCTGGATGGCTTGTAACAAGGTTTGTAAAATATCATACATGTCAAAACGTGACTCAGCAATGTGAATTGCAAATCAAGAATGCAAATCAAGAAAAAAAAACTAACAGTAAGTCAAGCGTGAAATGCTAGGGAAAGGAAGGTGGGAGTGGAGGAAGCAGATGGATAGCTGGCAAGGGGAGGAGGAACTTCCCTTCCCTTGCCAGCGTTGTTTACTTACTCCTTTCCATGTTCCTTGCCCTTGGCAGCAGTTTGAATCAAATAGCGCTGCGTCGTCCTGGCTTTCATTGCACTGCTCAAGCTATGAATGACAAGGCGCTATACCATTCCAGCCCAGTTCTGTTCACCTGACCTCTCAAGCCAGATGCACAGAAACGAAAACCTAGCCGCACATGACAATTACTGTGGCCATTCATATCACTGCCCAATGTTAGCACACTAGACTGTAGCTCCTCATGGCTCAGGGGCAACCTAAAAGAACACGGAAACATAGTTTTGTATGTTAAGACTGGACGACAAGGCGACACGCACGCTGCAGGTGTAGACAGGCAGGTGCAGGTGTTCTATCTTTCTGGTGTAAATATAAACATATTGCCTTCACATTAACACAGAACATTGAGGATGGCTGTTTTGTACTTCAGTTTAAACACAATGTTAGTTTTGAAACTTGATAAAAGCTCACGTTAAGTGCTTTATAATCCTTACTGTGTTCATTTCTAGATAGGTGTATGTTTATGCTCTGTGTCATTATCTTCACAAGCACAATTGATTTAATGTTCACTGACTTCAGTTGTGGCAGGAATAAAAAAAAATTGGGGTCAAGGATTAATATCTTTGGATTAGGACTTCGCCATGATTGCTTCGAATATCGGCTAATGTTTCAGGTACCTTTATAAAAATGCAAAGATCATGTGTTTAAGTACAAAATCGTGGAGCGAAAAAGTTTTTTTGCAGATCTTGGGACTTAGAGTAGACCTTCAATCCGAAAAAAGAAAGCCATATTGTTCAGCTCTCATGTCGTCTTAGGATATTGTATTTCTCAGGGTCACAACAAACATGCTCAATATTAAAGGGACCATGAAATGATTTTAAAATCGAATTTCATCCACCGCACGTCGTAAAAGGTGTGAAAAGAAACACGAAAACACAAAACTAGGGAGCCAAAAAAAATTATTTGCTATAGAACTTTTAAAAGAAAACTGGACTCTTTTGCGCCTTCCTTCCTTCGCCTGTTCACTACGATGCATGCGCGGAAATGGAGCACGTCAGCCAAATCCAGGTCGCCTATTGGGTAAGGGCCTACCTCACCAGCACCGCGATCGTAAACAATAAATAGCCGGCGAATGTTTCCTAAAAGTTTTGTTAAATAATATTCAGATCCACATTTTGTAGCATAATTAGAGATGTGTGGCGAAAATTGCCAAATTTGATAATGCTGAGAGCCAAGCGCCATCTATCGTGTGGTCAACGAAGCAACTACTGCGCGTGCGCAGTAGGGCAGGGCCGACTTAGAACGGTTATTTTCTTTGGTTTCCTTCCTCTCAATACTCTGACTGACTGAACGTTTATTTTTCTATGTGTTCATCTCGCGCGTGCCGACTTCAAGCAGCAAGAAAAAAAATGTACTTAAAACAGACCACGACGAACAAGAACGCTGGATCCACAAACACCCGAGAAGAGCGACAACAGCCGCGAATCCCGCTCCGACGAAGCTCTCAGAATAGGCCTAGCAGGCACTCCGACTCGGCGCAGCGTTGCTTCGTCGCAAGACCGTCTGCCTGCCTACGACCGGCTGGCGTGTTGAATGGAATATGCCCGGGCTACCCTTGTGGACCCTTCCCGTATTATAGTTTGATCGCTGACCTCAATTTTAGATTAAGAGGTGAGGTCAATCTCTTCCCCTTGTTTTCCGAGGCAGTGTTGACGAACACTCGTCGAAAAGAGACCCTCGTCGATTCTCTCTTCTTGTTTTGTGTGATATAGAGCTGAAATAAACGCTGTATGGATTACCTTCGTAACACGGTATGTACTCTTTGTTATTGGTATGCCATTTTTATTCTGACAGACTGCACGTCACTGTCGAGCTGTAACAGTTCGTGGGAGGTATACGTGCAATACCGGTCCAACCTTTCTTTGCCGAGTGTCGCGTCAGTATCGAGTTGCAATCGTAAAAGATCGGTCCCGAAGCGCTTACCAACAGCGCGAATACAGCACTTCCATCAAACGCGCGCGTCCGCTCCGAGTGTGAACAGGTATTTACGTGGCTCTTGCTGACACTCGTAGTTCAAACGTATGTTTTTTAACGTCGGCTCGCTCCTGCATCTCCGAGACCGCGAAAAACGCCGCGGCAATTTGTTTCCATCTACGTCGCTTTGCAAACGACTGACACTGGCCGCCTTTTACCAACAATGACAGTTGCGTTGACTTCTGAAGTCTTCACCGGAAGACTCGCTGCACTTCCCAACAGGCATACCGGTGTATGGGACTAGTCCCATGCTGTCGCTGTAGCGCAACGTATCTCATTGAATTTCGCTCAGCTGCGATGCGGCGATGAGAGTCGCCGATTCAGAAAATACGTCGGTGACATCGGCGCAGTAAATCCTACCGGCGCACCCCAACTCGTCGCCGCTAACGCTCCCATCTCCTACCGCCGAGAGAACTTCCGGTTCCGGAAGCAGCGTACGTCACGGCTTCTTTTGCGGTCAAGAAAAAGTCGATATTTCGTTAATTTTTTGTGTAGAAGTTAATAAACCGAGACGAAAACGGATGCCTGTTCGGCATTCAGTGAACATTGACGGTTTAATGTAAAAGTTATCTGGAAAAAGTAAAAAAGTCATTTCATGGTCCCTTTAAATCAACTTGAAATAAACCAAGCACTCCTTTTTGGTTATAGATGAAACATCACTGTAAAAGATGCCAGAAAAAGTTTACATCACTGGACACGTTCTTCAAGCACACATTATATCATGAAACGTCATCAAGAGGTGTTCCATGCAGCGTTGTTGGCTGTGAGGCTGCATTCAAAAATTACAACTCGTTGCGAAGCCACATCACAAGGTGTCATTCTCCGCTTGCCCCTCGTAATGCAACTTACTTCCAATCCTGCCGGACATGTAGTGTTAGTTCCTGCATTGAAGAGGTGAGCCCTGGAAAGGCTTTTATCGAGCACCTCAAAAAACATCTCACCGGCAACCCGCCAACTGTTGTAACTTGACCAATTGATGCGTGTGATAGCCAGCTTAGGACATGGGGTTCACTCAAGACCCATCTTTCCATATACCATGGGAATGGAAAAAAAATCGGTGGTCACAGCCAGTAGAACAGGATGAAATAGTGACGTCATGCTGTAGCAAGGATGACAATGGTCAGGAGAA